CTTAATAGGTATGGAGAGAATTTGCATAAATATTTTATTGTAACATGAAATAGGATGATGTTTCTGTGGGGTGATGGGATATTATATAACATTGAACAAAATTTGATAAAATACTTAACACATTAACAAGAGGAACAAATTAAATAACTGATAACACATTATCAGGGGCATTAACAGACATGATGAGAGAAAATATACAAAATAATAGAGAAATTAATGTTAATGATGAATGAATGACATGTAATATTACAAAAATTGTCATAATTTTAGCGAATTTCCCTATAGGAAACTAGCTATTACCGTAGGTGGGGTAAGACCTAAGCCCAGGACCTTCATTTTGATGTCCCCAGAGGCCAAAAACACCATTCATTAAAGGCGGGAAAAAACTTGGATGAGTTTTCGAACCGGCATAATCAGACCATAGGAACGGGGTTATACGTCTTATGGGGTAAAATAGGTTTTTCTAATTTTTGACCCTTAAAGCACAAAATTTCCCAATTTATCACTAGACCTTTTTAAAGAGCTCAAAAAACAAATAATTTAGTATATCGAAGTGTTTTTGTACAGTTATTGGTAAAAGAGAAATTTCTCATGTTATTCCAATGGAGAATATTGTAAAATGGTGTAGTTTGTTAATTTATTGATATATTTTGATCAAACTTGGAAAATTTATTTATTTTATACTAAGCTATTAATATATTACTAAAAACACACTTTATTAGTTTCCTTGTAGCCGCAAACCTAGGTACTCGTATAGGGGAGACCCTGTATACTCAAATTTGATTAAAATTATACTGTCTTGATATTTACTGTGACATTAAATCATTGTCGTATTCCGTTTGAATAAATCTAATTATAAAAATCACATTTTAACTTGGATTTGCAATTAATTATTTGTCTCTACCAACAGTGTGTCATTAGTGAACAATGTAAGTTTAGAAGATAACAGGTTATCAATGTTCCTTTAGACTGGACAATTGTAAAATTTGTTTATGAATGTCCTTTACTCCTTTCGTAAGTTATGTTGATTTATGTATTTTATGGCATATAGGTAGGGTACATGTTGTCTCACCTAAAGTGAACCAATATAACTTTTTTACTATGCAGAGGGCAGTTAACTTTTTATGGAGAACTCTCCTTTATTAGACAATTTCCCATATAGGGAATACGCTTTTACCGTAGGTCTCGTAGTAAGACCTGGATCCGGGACCGATTTACTTTTTCATTTTGATGCATCCAGAGGCCAAAAACACTATCCGTTCAAAATGTTTTGTGTGTGTGGTTGTATATATATCAGTGAACGTGATAACTTTTGTCCTAGTAATTTTTGTCCGATTTTGATGAAATTTGGCTTGAAGGTGTAGGACAGGATAAACTTGGAATGAGTTTGTCGGACCATGGGAACGGGATATTATGGGGTGAAAATTTATTTGTCCCATTTTAGACCCTTAAAACATAGAATTTTGCAATATTTTACAAAAAAAACACACCCTTAAACCTAATGTTAATGTTATGTAATTAGATTTAAGTTACGATCAAGTCAGGCAGATGGAAATTTGTTGTTTGGTCTGCTGGTTGTCTGTGGCGGAGGTACTTTCTACTAGGCCTATGTTGTTTGGGATGGTTTCAAATTTTAAAAAGATGAGTGCCATTTTCCTATAATATGGCTGCCAACTTTTTATGGAACACCCTGTATTTTATGATTGTTTTAGAATATAAATGTGATGTTAAAATGTTTTTATTATTTACATTTTTTCTATAAAGCTACTCGGTTAACAGTTACCAGTGTGTTACACCGAATAAAAAATAGCTTGCAGTGTAGGCCTACATTCTGCATCCTGTAGCTCATATACGAGTAAGTTTGGGGAGTGAACACAAAGTATATAAAAATATCCCCGTGCAGCAAACGTTTAGACTAAGCGAATTTCCATTTGCCTGATTGGATCTACACTAAAATGTCTCCTTAAAAAATATATCTCATTTATTCCCTATTTAAATAGAATTAGTTTAAGGAGTACTTAGGTTTGCTGCAACAGCAAGGGTAAAAAAGTGTTTTTTTCTTTTGTAAAATGTTAATAGTAAGAAACAAATGTATTTTCCAAATTTGATCAAAATATGTTCATAAACAAGCAAGCAAACTACAACACTTTACTTATTCTCCTATAAATTAACATGGGAATTTTAAATTTACAATAATTTGGAATTTTCTCCGTAACCATTAGGCACATAGTAACGCTTTAATATACTTAATTATTTGTTTTTTTTTTAACTCTACAATATGGTTTGAAAAGAATTTGCTATATGTTTTGTTTTTAGGGTCAAAAATGGTAAAAACCAATTTTCACCCCATAAACACCCATCCCCATATTCCGATCATGCTGGTTTGCGAACTCGTTCGAATAAATAAAGGTTTATTCGTTTTAACCAAATTTCATAAAAATCGAGGATAATTTTTGCTTCAGTTATCGCGCTATTGGACACATATATGAATTTGAACGAATGGTGTTTTTGGCCTCTAGGGACCTCAAAACGGAAAATTAAATCGGTACTGGGTCCAGGTCTTACCATGAGTACTGCGGTAATAGCTTACTCCCTATATGGTAAATTTGCTAAAAAAAGATCATAAAATAGGCCTACATTAATATTGATTCTATTGTTTCATAAATGGGCGGAATTTTTTAAATCACCACCTAACTTTAAAATTGGAACACTGTATTTTAGAATGTGTCTTAGAATATAGATGCCATTTTAAGACTTATTTACACGTTGAATTTTCTCTTTAAACCTACTTGTTTAGGAGCTACAGGATGTAGAAAGTACACCATTGGCAAATTTTTCTTAGGTGTAATACCATGTAACTCCTACTAAACACTCAAGATTCAGAGAAATAAGATGAGGAGTATTAAAACGTTTTTAAATCCCATCTTATATACTAAAAAACTTTTGCAAAACTTGCGACAGCTAGCCTGTCCATACTATTGGACCAAATTACACGTGGTTGGTACCAAATGAAAGATATTTTCCTGTAGATGTGCAGAATCCCTTTATAAATTAAAATAGGCTAAAAAAATAAGCACGAAATATGAATTTGAAATTTAAAAAAAAATTAACATGAGCCTTATGGGTTGCTATGCTGGTGACAAATAACAACAGAATATAAACAGAAAATCCAAACAAAAATCCAATCACATGTTTTATTTACAGTGTGGGGTGAAAAAAGAGAAGTCTGTACATTACATATTTTTGGTAGAGTTTTCAACCACTGGACAATTTATATTTTACTATATAGACTATTTTTCGTTCAAAAAAGGCAATTTTTCATCTGGTATGTGGCAGTAAGATTGATGTATCTGATATAGGAAAATGATTTGGGAAAGGAGAGAAATGGTCCAAGATGTAGGAAGTGGTAAAGGAAGTACTGTAGTAAAGGCGAGCAGTGCGGAGTGTGGGAACCGTTTGTGGCAGTTAGGTTAATATGTGCAATACTTAAATGCTATGGGAATGGAGGGAAACAGGTCCACGACTTTTTGGAAGTGGTGAAGGAAGTAGTAAAGGGAAGGAGTGCGGAGTGTGGGAACCGTTTGTAGCAGTTGGATTAATGTATATGCAATACTTAAATGTTATTGAAAGGGAGGGAAACAGGTCCACAACGTAGGAAGTGGTGATGGAAGTAGTAAAGGCGAGCAGTTTAGAGTGTGGGAACCATTTGTGGCAGTTAGCATGCATCTGCAATACTAAGACTGGTGTCAGAGAAAACTAATGATTTTCCCCGAGCAAAGCTTGGTCCCCAGGTATTTAGTAGAATACAATACCGTAAATGTGAGCTCAAAATAACAGCTGGGTAAAAAATGTTAGATTTAACCCTCCGAGTGTTAAGCATCGCGTAATCGACGCACAACACACCCGCCGTGGTGTTATGCGTCGCTTTTGCGACACACAAACATCGTTTACGGCAAGGCTCTGGGACTGACTGAATCAGATTGAACTGGATCGAGATTGGTATTGTTGTTTTCAGCAGATTCTAAGCTTTCTCCCGATGTCTGTTTCTAGACGCTTTTCATTTTAGTTCCGAATATATAGTAGCAGACAGATTACGTGCGTATTTGTAAACAACTTGGTTAACCTCGCACCGATGACTGATGTGTTTTATTATGTTTATCATTGTTTTAGTGTTAAAAATAAAATGTTGTGATATACGTGGTGCATTATAAGAAGATTTAAGTGATTTTGAAGGGCTGGTTGATGATCCTGAAGAAGTTGGTAGTGATATTGATGTAAATTATCCGCCAGATTCCTAGCTATGGTTAGGCTATGCATTCTTAGCTAACGCTAAATGTATGAAATCTGTTTTTTCACCCATAACTTATTTATTTTCAAACCTACTTCCTTATATTATTATATTTTTGGAATACTCATAAAATTTAGAACAAAGTGGCTATTTAAAAAAAAATTGTAGACCTATAAATTATAAAGCAGCACGTTGTTTATATGTATCTCTTAATGGACTTACAGTATTTTAAGCTAAGCCTGCTTTCCTGTCAATTCCCTTAACAATTCCTGGCAAATGCCCTATCTTTTAATCAGATAACCTTAATGAAGTATTAAATGCCTGTCACAACTCCCACCGAACATTAGGGTACTTGGTCATCCATAACAACAAATAATAATCATAACATGTGTTAACAAATTAAATACAATTAATAAGCCAGCTGTCACTACAGAAACCGTGCTGCCTGTACTAGGCTTTTCAAACATTTCTTAGGAGTTAATTTGACCTTTTAAGGATCCTAATTTGTGATTGAAAGATATTAGGTCAAAACCACAAAGGAGTCTAGGGCTTAAAACAAATTCAGAATTGTTCTATCTACACTAATTACGTTAATTACTATAATTATTCAGAAATAAATTATTTTATAAATGCAGGGGCACTCAAAACCGCTTGTGAATTTGGTCTTAAAATTATTTTGATAAAACTTTGTGGTGTTTTTTGACTTCTTTAGATGGAGATTTTAACTGCTTTACGACAACTTGGAGAAAAACTGTCTTCTTCCGAGTTACAGTTTCTGACAGACCAAACTGATAGCCCACATTCCAAGGGAAAGAACTTCAGGTTTGAACAAGTCACGGAAGATTCAGGTGAGCTAATGTTATTGTAAACTGCAGAGTAATGAACTTATAAGTGGGTTGTGGGTCTAAAGAAGCTCTCCCTAGGGAGTAAAAAACAGCTGTTGTAAACTTTGATTGTATGCAATCATATGCAACAAAATAATGTATCGGTTGATTTAATCAGCTGTAGCTGTGTTGAATTCTTGTCAACAGTTTGACACATCAATAGTATAATGTACACTAACACAGTTATACTAAACAAAATTATTAAATCAATTACCCAACAGCTGCTTGTTTTTATTAGCAAAATTAGAATCAAGTTGGAAGTCGTTTTGAGAGGTTATCTTTACATTAAAAGTATTTTCGTTTTCCACCTTAGTTTTGTTAAACAATAAAGCAAAATTTCCAAAATTACAAAAAAATATACACAAAAAGTGTCTTTTAACCAATAAAATCACAAGTATTTACAGCTGGTGACATGCAAGCTGGCACTTGACCGGTCGCTACCAGCCTAGTTGAAAAACATTATGTGCTGTCATGGGGGTTGCGTCAACTGTCCTCCCGACGACCCACGTGAATGCGCTCAAGTACACGAAAGACGGGGAGTCAACCCGACGAGTCGGTGAAAATGTTTGCAGTCCGGTCTTTTCATTACCTCCACCCTCCCAAAGCCTACACTGGCAGCGCCAGGCCCAAGTGTCAGCTTACGTGTCACAAGCTGTAATTCGTTCATTGATATTTTTTGGCTAGAGGCTTTGATAGCTATATTGTTGATTAATTTTGCAAAGTAAACATTATTTGAAACTTAATCAAAGTCCTGAAAATATGACAACATTTATAAAACATTTGGAGGTTTACTGAGACCAACCAACTGATAAAATTTCGTGACTAATTCATGTTGGTGACTCTGTTGACTCATGTTGGGTGCTAGTGCTGACGAAATTTTGTTTCTATTAGGCCTATTTTAAAGTTAATTTCATGATTTGAGCTTAACTGTTTGGTTACTAGGGGACGAGTTGTTGTTTATGATTCGATCGTTTTATTTGGGGTTTTAAAAGACGAGGTTTTAAATGACTGAAATAACAAGAAACCAATTTTTAAAAAAAATACGACCACTACAGTGCACCAAACGGAACTAACAATAAAATTGTCTTCAGCTGATCTACAGGGTGAGTTTTAATTGTCCCCCCAACTTTTTTCTACATTTTTTCAAATATCAATCTCAGACCACTTCCAAAAATTGTTGGGTAGTAAGTACTTCATTTTGACAAGGTGGTAATTTCCGGTCGCCATCTTGGATTCGTCATATTGGATGCAAAATATTTTTTTTATGTTAAGGTGGGGTTGTGATCAATTATTTTGAACTAGATTTTTACCCTGATTTCAATGCCACAAACCGTTTTTAAAAATCTTGATCCATTCCAAAGTTATGAGGTCATTTTAAAACTTTAGCCCATTTTATTTTTAGCCCATTTTAACATTGTGCATTTACAAACTAAGACCATAATCTCAAAATAGTGCTAGATAAAGATAAGTATACACTACCAGTCATTGTCGACCTATTTCCACTTGGTTATGACGGATGTATTTTTTTCGGCCCATTTCGGTATGACTCCCATTTCTGTAAAAATTACGGTTCAAAAGTTAGTAAATTATGTTATTTTCCCATAAAAACCCCACAATATAACGAAAAATAGGAATTTAGGGAAAAATCTGGTTTTGATTTATCTTAGTACTATGTTATAGTCCTTAAAGGTTTGAAAGTTTTTTTAATTTTTTTTAAATTTTGATTTTTAATGAGGATTTTCCCATAAAATAACGGAAAAATTGGATTTTCTCAAAAATGGCCAGAACCATTTTCTAAAAAATTTAGTATGTTATAGTCCTTTAAATTCGGAACAAAATGGTAGAAATCCCATTTCCGTAAAAATAACGGTTCAAAAGTTATTGTTAGTTATGTTATTTTCCCATAAAAACTCATAAAATAACAAAATACCCCCGCCGCAGCAATCCTGCAGACTAAGCAAATTTCAAATTGTCTGATTACATTTTTACTAAAATATTTCCATAAATTCCGGCTTAGACATATTTATTCGCAATTTTAAAAACATTAGATTTTTACGAGTACTTAGGTTTGCTGCTACGGGGAAGATAAAGAGTGTTTTTTTTATCATACGTCAATAGTATAGGATGAAATAAATAAATTTGCCAAATTTTATCAATATATATCCATAAACAAGTAAACTACAACAGTTTTCATTTTCTCCATAAGAATTTTAAATTACACTATTTTTGAATTTTTCTCCGTGACCGTTAGGCATACAAGAGCGCTTCAATATACTAAATTATTTATTTTTTTAAGCTCTTCAAAACAGTTTAAAAATAAATTGCAAAATTTTTTGTTTTTAAACCAAACCGCTGTTCCCATGGTCCGATTATGCTGGTTCGCGAACTCGTTCGAATAAACGTAGGTTTACACGGTTGTACCAAATTTCATCAAAATCGGATCATTTTTGCTGTATACATATATATATATATATATATATATATATATATATATTTGAATGGATGGTGTTTTTGGCCTCTAGGGACCTCAAAACGAAAAATTAAATCGGTCCAGATCTTACCATGAGTACTACTTTAATAGCTTATTCCCTATAGCTACAATAAGCTAACCTAACCTGATCTGATTTTAAATTTGCCAAAATCAGATTTTTTTAGAAAAGCTGGTTTTGGTCAAAACTAATATGTTATGGTCCTTATAATTCTAAAAAAATAGTACAACACCCAATTGCTGTAACAATTACGGTTCAAAAGTTATTGCAACTTTTGTGATTTTTAACTATAAAATATCATATTTACTCTCGCCGCTTACCCATGATAAAGGTTGTTGACATGCTTATGGGAGAAAGTATGTGTCAGAATGCTGATATCATTAATTTACTTGTGAGTTTATTTTGAGTTTGCCGCTAATGACGAAGCCAAATAACTTGTATGTAATATTTTTGTTATAAACTAATAGTATTAATGAATTAGTAAAGGAACTTGACAAGTTAGGTAATTGTCAGTATGCCACGGGGAAGAAGAGTAAGTCTCGAAAACAGACGAAGGCGTAGACACCCATCTTGAATGTCCATCATAGTTTTTAAACAATATAGAGGTCAGTGGATTGCCAAGACACAGATTGAACTAAAAAAAAATGGGGCAGTGGTTTTATTGATGAGGAATATTAATAATAAAGGGCACAATATTAATACATTACGGCACAAGGCTGCAAGTGACCAGAATGGTTAACAACTTAAAAGAATGTAAAGTCCTGACTGGAACAAGTGTGGTGAGGGGGGGACATATTTTGATTCCGACGATAAAAATGTGCCCATCGGCAACAAACTTACCTTTTTAAATGGGAAGATGCCCATTTCCGTTAGTTTTGGCATTTAAAATGACCTTCTTCAATTTTAAAGCACAAGGACAAACGCTAAAATAGCAGCAATGGGGGATGCGGAATACTACCCCCCGAAAAACCACCCACCAGGTGAAACCTGACGTCACAAAATCTGCCAACTGACCAATATGGGAACCGTGTGTCCGCGACTGGAATACTACCCCCTCCCCCTAGCAAAATGTGATGCTATGTATTAAGGTTAATTTCATATGTAATAATTATCATTATAATTTTAATTTGAGTAATTTCCTTTGATAACAGAAAAGGCATGTGGGGAATATAAAACGGAATGTTGAAATGCTAAAAGCAAGTTTGGTTAGTTAGTGAGGTTAGATGTTTGGAACAGTTAGACAACGAAACTTGAGTGTTCGTGACTGGAAAACTCCCCCCCCCCACCCCCTCGACCTCTGACGTCATCATGACGTAGGAACCTACTTGGGGAGTGTAGTTGTCCAGAGGCAGTCTTCTGGTGACTCCAGCACTATAATACTTTAATACTTTTCATTGAAATGATGACCATTTTCCAGTCACATTATCTATATATTTAATACACAGTTGTAAGTCTGTTCCGATCTAAAAGTTTTATGTCTCAAATTAAAGGGGATAGTGTGTAGATTTGCCGAACTTCCTTAGAATTTACGTTTTTTCTAAGGGCAACGACCTACAGCCCTTCAAAGATCGAGTCAATACAATTGTTATTGAAGAATATAATACACAGTTTATAAATTATTCGTCAGCTGTTTCATGTTTTTCAGACATTTGTTATTATTTTTGTAATCTCACTTTCAGTATCTAATTATTAATCTAGGAGTTTCTGTTTATAAACACACAATTTTTATGAAGGAAAAGTGTATTTTTTAACTTTTTTAACTGGCGAAGAAGTATGTGACTTGATGTTTAAGTGGCATGTTGACTCGGGTCATTATAGCGTTATAAAACTTTATCATTAACCCTAGGGTGTAAAAAGTACAAAAAGAAGAAGAAAAGGTAATCATTAACCGGGCGTAAAGAGACATACAGAACGAAAAAACACATAGAGAACCATCGAACTAAAAAGGTAAAGAGCAGTGATTAAATTGACAGCTAAAGGGTGTCAGTAAGACAAGCATCTACAACTATTTGTGGTTCAGGAAGGACTGTACTAACATCTTCCAACACTATTAAAGATGTCCCAGGCTTAGGTGGACGTTGACAAGGTCATGGGCTGAAAGCCATTTGATGGAAGGACACTTTCTGCTTTTGGGATTGTAGATTGTGGAACAGGAGCTCTTGCATTGACACATTTTGCTGGTTTTATGCACTCAATGCCACCCATGGCGTGAAAAGTTCCATGTCCATCAAGTGTTTTAACGTTGTAATCCGCGTTGTCGAAAACATACTGAACGTAAGCGCATCTATTGAAAGTGAGACATTATCAGCTATCAAAGTCTCGAAATTGACGACCTTCTTGTATGTCGAGCAAACTCCGAGCTACGATAGAATGTCTAACAGCAACTTTGAGCCATACCGTCTGTGAAGGTGAACTCCTAGGCCGAGCAGCAGGGGCGATGAAAGATCGTGATCGAGCTGCAGCAATAATTGCATG